TTTAAAAGGTTCCATATAAAAATGTTATGTCTGTACGAGAACACTTCGCGTTTTGCATTCCTTGTTTGATGGAAGCATGACTATGTTCATCAGTGGCAATAGTTGAAACATGGTGTCTCACTACTACAGGTAATATTAATTTTATACCAGTGTAATAAGATACTAATGCATTAAGCTGCTATTTTACGCTGGTATTCTGTGAGAGCGTGGTGCTTCCCCGGTCGAGCCGACCCATTCGTGCTATATAATAATATTATGTTACAAAAACTGTCTTACAAATATTAAATAACAGCATCCCTCTTATAGTTTCCTACGTTGTCTCCAAAAGACAGAAACTGAGTGGATGACCCTCCTTAGCAATGCAACTAAAGAATTAATATCCCCCAGTCGTGACAACAGTACTTAATACCACCCGCCGGAAGTGAGGGCCGGATTGGATGGAATCGCAACGGAAGCCGCTGACCGGAAGGAAGCGACGAATGCGCCATCTTATTGATTGCGGCTAATTCATTTGCCCTGTCGATTCAGTCGGGATTGTGTTTCGAGATGTGGCGTTGTTATTTGCAGTGTTTATTATTATGGACAGTGGATAACCCAACTTAAACATGGATGAGACACGCTGCAGCTTCATTATAGTTGTAGCACGAATGGATCGGCTCAACCAGGGAAAATACCACGCTCTTACAGAATACCAGCGTAAAATAGCAGCTTTATCAAAATGAACATGCGTTGTAACCCCTGAGGACTAAGATGGAATGCCTCGTTTCCAGTAAAAAGTGTCTCCGGTTCTCTACACTCACCATTCGAAACACAGCAGCGTTAAGCTGCTACTTTATGCTAATATTCTGTGCGAGCGTGGTCCTTACACGCTCGAGCCGACCCATTGGTGCTACAACTATACTACTGATATAGCTGCAGCATGGCTCTACCACGTAAATGTGTACTTTTACAAAGACGACATTGAGAACGTGATATTCCTTGGTCCACTGAAATGTGTAAAAAAATTACTTTTATTATTAAAAGTAATTTTTTAAAATGTAAAAGGTTCAGAGAACTAACATTTTTTAACATTTCCATTAAACAAAAAACTATGAATTTAAACACCATATACCGATTTTTATGAAAAAAATTATATTTATCAACTGCCGCCACAGAGACAAGTCGCGACAAGCAGAACACTCTAACGTCACTTTTCGACCGAAACAAAAAACCTCTCCCCCGTTCCCCGTTCGGGAGATACACTCACTGCGCTCACTTACCCACTGCGCTCAGTTACGTCGAATGACTCTACCACTGCAAGACTCCAAGATAATGTAACCTCGTTCTGCGTAGATCGGACCAAAAATTAATATTCAAAAACTGAAGGTAGCCGGGCTAACTATGACATCGGGACGTCAAAGATCTCAGTCTCCCCGTGACACCATGGGTGCTGTAAAGAACCCAAAATGTCGGGAATTAAACTAAGTAAATTAAAAGCGATAAAATCCGTAAAAATAGTTATATTCAAACAAATGTAGGTATATGTAGGTATGTAAATGTAGGTATTAAGGAATTATTTTAACATAAAGCCGGTGACATAGATGACCTTAACACCGAGGGTGCCGTATCCACTCAATTATATTTTAGTTCAATGTTATCTATACATATAAATAAAATTGTGAGTTTTGGCGGGAACTCGACCGGCGGCGGTTTGCTGCTCCTGTATTATAGTTTAAATAATAGTTTGAAGTGGATTTTGATATGTAAAAGTGGTGCGATTTTATGTATTAACTGTCTACGCATGTGAACTATTAGTGGAAACGGTGATACAAGTGCTCTGATGGTGATGGATTCTCAAGATAAGCCGTTTGTTTGCATAGGCGCCTTTAGATACCATCGCCAACTATCAGCTGTCTGCTGGCTCAAGTTGCCGTCAAAATCTCCCAAGGGCTGCACAATGTGACGCATCAACATATTGTGAAGCAGTGAACTATGAAGGATAATTATTTATAATAAACCGAATAAAAATACTCAAGACTTGGCCTAAAGGTCTAGATACCAGGCCATAAGCTCCTATAAAAAAAAATTGTACCTACGTATGTCTGTCTGTGATATCGAAATAATTAGTTTTTATTAAGCTGAGAGGGTTAATTGCATGCTATTAAAACATAAATAACTATTTAAAAACGAACAAATAGAGAGGAATCTTTTTTTTTTTTTGAATAATTGACAATTTGATAAAATAAATGATATTTAATTATCTTAAATCTAAATACCTAACACCAGATAACAGATTCTACGCAGGCGAAACTAATTTTAAATAAAACTAAGTAGGTAACCTAAATATGCACTAATATAAGAAAAGTGGTAAAATTAAACATTTTGTACAACCGACTTCAATATACATGAAGTGAGAACATCATCAATGTAGTCGAAGTCAATTAAATACGCATTATTAACGATAACTCAAAAACTACCTGTCTGATCTTGATCAAAATTATATGGGTCAACATGAGAAGCACCAGCTTTCAAATGAAAATAGAATTATCAAAATCAGTTCACTTAGAAAAAAAAATAAAAAATATACGCTCGAATTGAGACGTCATTTTTTTAAAGACGGTTAAAATATGAAAAAGAAAACTATAGAAGAAGTTTACAATTACCTACTCTAAGTTATAAAAACTTCCTTTGCATTGATAAGGAGGGAACGATAATTATATCGTCGTATACGAATCTAGCAGAGTAAACGAATCCATAACGCCGTTTCGTCCCGGGGATGAAGTAAGAGGCGACTATGGAATATGGACACGCCAGAAAAATATAATGGCTATCTATAGGTATCTACATGGCGGTGTCATATTGGTTACGTCAGAGCCGAACATAAAATACCCAGCCCGGCTAATTATATATATAATAAAACCCTGTGGCCAGAATCAGTATTGAAACGTGTAGAAAAAATTTTACTTCAGAAAACTGGATCGTAAAAAAATTAAGTTGAATTAATTTTTTTTTTGGTAATTGTATGTGATTTTGTTACCTCTGCATTAGAGTCATTGAGTTATATGTACTACGTACTAGAAAAGCCATTCCAAACAAAAATTGTGTCCTACTCTATGTCTTTGCGCATGCGCGGGAGTAGTAGTCGCGCAAGCGCGAGGACTTTAATTTGATATAAAATAAGATATTAATATAAAATAAATATAAGAATTTAATATAAAATATCTTAATTTAATCTAAACAAACATATTATATTTCTAAATAAAATGTAATAATAATTATCTTATGGAATTCACAAATCTTCAATTTACGCAATATTTAGTTTGTATCGATTGCACTACAGTTCAGTTGAACATAGTCAATGTTCGGAATGGCTACTCTAGTACGTAGTACATATAACTCAATGATTAGAGTATAGAAATCACGCGGTAAGAGCATTGTCTGTTAGCGGTGATGTTTATCACATTTTTATAGAATATGCCCAGAACTCAAGAGAAAGAAACAATTGTAATTTACATTTTGTCCTTAATTGGTAGTAATAGTTTTTAGCAGACCCGTTATCTACATTAATATTTATTATTATTAATAATTATATAATTTATTTGTTAATTAATAAGAGATTAAATAATTGGTAGGTAAGTATAAAGCTTAGACTGTAATAAGAGATTAAATAACCAGTGCGCGTTGCCAGTGATGACCTATGAAACTGAGACGTGGTCCTTCACTGCTGGCCGGATGAGGAAGCTCAAGGTCGCTCAGCGAGCTATGGAGAGGGCTATGCTCGGAGTTTCTCTGCGTGATAAACTTAGAAATGAGGATATCCGCAGTAGAACCAGAGTGACCGACATAGCGTGACGGATTTGTAAGCTAAAGTGGCAATGTCGTAGTAATTATTTTATTTACGATTTCAGAGACGCATCAGAGACAAAGTCCTTTATCTATAAATTTAAAAAAAAAAGTATTGTCAAAGAGCACGCTCTATCGATGCGTGTGTCAGTTAGAGGTAATGAAACCACATAGAGTTTGTAAGTAAAAAAAAAAATATTTTAGTTTATATTATGGTTGAGTTTTCTGAAGTAAAGTTATTTCTATAAGCTTATTAACAGGAAGGCGATGGAAAATTTCTAAGAAACATGCATGCCAAAAAAAATCAAAAAGATATTTCGGGAATGACCTGATACTTTAAGGTAGTATAGGGTAGGGTAGCAGTAGCATACAGGTGGATTGTAAGTTCCTTTGTCATTTCTTAAATGGCAATGGCAGTGAGGAGGACTCCAAGCCCTCTTAGATGATAATGATGAAATGAGAAGAAGTAGGTACCTAAGTATCAAGGAGTAGTAAATTATTAGTAGGTAACAAACTAATCACAAATAATTATTAGTAATTAGTAGTGGTATGTAATTTATAACAAGTATAACATGTTAAATGTTGCGGTCCTTTGTTGCGGATTAGGTATAATTAAAATAATTTTATTGCACGAACGTCGAACATGCCGAGTAGCAAATTACTATTCAGGCTGAATAGCACTTCAGCTTGTGCTTGCAGACTCGTTAAAAAAAACAATATAAAATCGACCCGCTCCAGATCAAACATACAAGACGCAATTTATCAAAAACAAACCACGTCGAACACGAAAGATTAACATGAACAGATTAAAAAATAAAAGAAGGAGACCGCGGATCGAAATCATAAATCATGCTCATTATATTCGAACAGGATTATTTTTTACCGTAGAAAATGTTCAAAAAAGCATCAGAAGGCTGCGAGGGGGGCGCCATTTTGAGGGTACTGTCAATTAGGGCGGGAAAATCGTTTGGGCGCGACCAATCAAAGAAGCTCGCACAAACAGGCGTTCTGAAAGCACACCAATGGTAGCGAAGGTAGGTCCACTCATGCGCTTTGACGTCGATCCATAGAATTATACATATAATACGGCAGTATGGGCTTGGCCGTCGCCGTGGAAGGACGTGTGTGTATACCTTTTGTATAGGAAAAAAATGCCAATGTGCCTACGGACCGAAAGTGTTATTTCTCGTCTTATCAAACGTATTTTTTAGTGTTTTTGTGCTAGGAGATCCGATTAAACTGTATGGACAACAATATTAACTGTTAATCTCAAAATAAAAAAGCTTTGTTAAATAAAAATTGTTTTATAATATAAAATAAACATCGCTATAAAGCGTGTTTAGTGCTTAATCGTGAAGACTTGTCGTCGTTCACATCATCAGTGATGGTGATGGCCAGCGGCGGTGGTGGTGGGCTGGTGCAGTCCCCACCCGACATGCTTCATCACCACAACATCATGGATACGTCGTCACACGTGGAAATGATGCCGAGTAAGTAGTTATTTTAAGGATTAACATGTAATTCATATAAAAGTTTTTGGTTAGGTTTTCATTACTTTAATGTTTTGTTAAGGCGAAGTAGAAATCTATTAGGTAGGATTCTGTCAGGTTTTGTACCAGCACCACTCTCACACTCTCCTATCATTTTGTGCCTCCCAAGCAGCAGTCAACTGCTGTGTTTTAAAGAACTAAAAAGCCAACTATAATTCCCCACTGAAGCATTTTATCAATAAATCTCAACCAAACCTTACCATTAATGTTAGGTACCTACTGTAATTAGTTCATTTGTCACTATGATACAAAAAAAAATTAATAAGTCGTATGCAACTAAAAACGATTTTAAAGTAAAGCCTATTCCCTGTAAGGAAACCAGCAACACAATATTAATACAAAAAATTATTGTTCTAATATTGACATATTTATTTTAGTATTTTTAAACAAAAATGACCTATTGCACTAATAAGCTTAAAACAACTAGATATTTAGTAAAAAAAATAAGCGTAACATATTTTAAATTTTTGGAACGAAGTTCGGATGGTACGAATTTAGCGGATGGGGTCTATGCGAGAAAAAGTGTAAGATTTCTCCGTCACGACCCCTTCTGACGTAGTGTAGACGGCCTCGGCGGCTATAAGGAAGCGAGATGGAATAATATTCATCCCCCTCGCACTATTTCTTATCTTGCCATGAAAGAAATATTATTATTTTTTTATAGGATAGGGTGACAAACGAGCACACAGTCCACCTGATAGTAAGTGGTTGCTGTGGCCCATAGACATCTACATTTATCCTCGTTTGCGAATCAAAATGTAGATGCGTTGTTACCCGTGAGGACTAGGATGGAATGCCTCATTTCCAGTAAAAAGGGCCTCCGGCCACCTGCACTCACCAAGCGAAACGCAGAGGTAAACCTCTACTTCACGCTGGTATTCTGTGAGGTCGTGGTACCACCCTGGTTCGAGCCGGCCCATCCGTGCGACAGCAAAAGCTGCCGCGTGGCTCTACCACTGTTAATTTTATTTTAAATGACGGTCTTCATTTAACCCCTAGTACGACCCTACGTTACGACTAACATTAACGACCCTAGTATTTCATTTATTTGTTTTTGTTAATCAATAATATAATACGTTAATCAATAATAATATAGTACGAAAGGAACTTCGTTCCTATCGAGTGTTCCACGACACTCACGCAATTTTTATTTGATATTTTATTTATTATAAATATCTATATTTTGTATAAAAAGGATTATTATAATATTAAGGAATTTATGGATGATAATAACCCCTGGAAATGAGGTGATCGCTACCAAACTGTTTCATGTAACTGTAACATACATGATTGTAAGCTGTTATTTATTTTTCCAAGAAAGTCCCGCTGGGTTTCTTGCTGGTTCTTCCAAGGACAGAGGTTTTTTTTCGAACCAGTGGTAAATTAAACAAGAGAGTTACTCTCAGTAATTATTATTTATAATCTATATTGAAAAAAAATATAAAGTTTCTGGTACTATTCCATAATACAGTGTAACGTGGCTAAACAACATTTAACTAATACCATTCAATTTGTAATAAAGTAAATGTTCTATGTACAAAGCGGTAAATTAAACAAAAGAATGATTTTCATTAAATATTATTTATAATCTGTATTGAATAAAAACGTTTCTGTCTCTAAACCAGAGAACACGTCAATTCTGTTTTTGTACTTTTTATTGGAGAAATATGTGCCATAAATATTAGATAAAATTACATACTTACATTAATTAGTACCTAGATATTAGTAGTTTTCATGGTTAATACTATGGGGTTCATAATGCAATGTTCCCCTGTGTGCAACATTTGTTTAAATCCATAACAAACAGGAGATTTTTAACCATTTAAAAAGACCTCATAAAACGAGTCATTTTACAAGTTCGATTTAAAAAAAAGCAGGCACAAAACTGCCAACTCAATATGCCTAAACAAACTTCAGTAATCGCATTCAGTAAACCCGTGTAATCTTGGTTCGTCTCTAACCAATAAACGTAACTGAGCAGAGGAAAGAAAGGGGGCAACCTGATTGATTTATAAACTGCTGGGGTCGCAACTACCCGGGCATTATTTTTGCTAATGCAAGCGCAACCGGCCATTATAGGGTTACGGTGATTTATGCACAGGGAACTAAGACGTAATGGCATATATAATTATTTTTATAATGTTGGATCGCCACAATTTGAACATTTGCCAGAATAGAGTGATTAGAATTTAAAAAAAAACAATCGATCTATGTCCTAAAAGTCACCTTCAATACTAAATTAAAGATTGGCCTAATAGGTTAGTAATAGGTTCACTATAAAGTCCATTAAAAAAACTAAGTACTTAATAAAATAAAAAAGTATATAATTCGGCTTCACAAATTAAATCTATACATACTTACATACATATAATCACGCCTCTTTCCCGTAGGGGTAGGCAGAGACCAGTTCTTTCCACTTGCTACGATCCTTACATACTTGTTTCGCTTCGTCCACTTTCATTATTCCCTTCATACATGCTCTTCGGTTTAGGGTACTCTTGACCTGGCCTTTTTTCAAGACGTGCCCGATTTGGTCCCTTCCAACACTTTCATTCACACTCGCCTTATACACTTTTTTCGTCAATCGTTCTTCATTCATTCTCTCGACACGGCCAAACCATCTCAGCATATAAATATGTAAATAAAATTAAAGTGTCTGTCTGAGCTTCTATTAAGCTCGCTGGGGTTATTTGAATGCTACTAAGACTATTTTTTTTAAAAAATCTGTGTGTGTCTGTCTCGTCTATTTTTCGAAACAACTGAACCGATTGTAATGAATCTTTGCGAACAGAGAGAGAGAGAGAGTAGGTAAAAATTGACAATTTCTTTTATGAAAAAAAACGAAAAAGTGATAAAATAAGTACTTACTTACTTACTTATCTTCACGCACAATCCCTGACAGGGTAGCCAGAGAGAACAGATCGCCAAGTGTCACGATCCTTACAAACCTCTTTCGCTTCTTTCAGATTCATTATCTTCTTCATGCATGCACGTCTAGGTATCCGAGTACTCTTGACCCTACCCTCTTCGAGCAATTTGCTCACATGGTCTTCGAAAGTTAGTCTCGGTCTACCTCGACACCTTTTAATATTAACTTTCGCGCTATATATTTTCTTCACCATTCGGTCTTCACTCATTCGCTCAACGTGCCCAAACCACCGAAGCACACCCTTATCAATTTTTGTGATAAGGTCATCTTTCAAACCTGCCATATTGCGAATCTCTTCGTTTCGCTTTCGGTCGGCCATAGTAACGCCGCACATTTTACGAAGAGATCGCATCTCCACTGCATTCAACTTACTTTTATGCTTCTTCTGGCATACCCAGGTTTCGCTGCCATATAACAAAGTCGGTACCAACACTGCATTATGTATTGCAAGGCGTGCACTCTTCGCTACGCCTTGCCTTTTGACAAACGCAGTCAGGGCACCATTGACTTTGTTCCCGGCAGCGACACGCCTGTCCACATCTAAATCACATCTTCCATCCCGGCTAAATAAGTAATAAGGATAAAATAAGTAGTCTTTGATTATCTTAAGTCTAAATAACTGCTCATTATTAGATCATATCCAGGCGAAGCCGAGTCGGGTCGCTAGTCTCCTTTAGTGAAATCTACAACCGGACCACAAATTTAAACCTCTAAAGATAAGAACAGGCGCTATCGTTAAAACCTTTTGTATATTTTAAAAACAATCATTTATTTATTTTTAATGGGAAACTTCTTGGATCGAAGTACTGGAGAAATTTATTAGGGTATGAAACAAAAACGTCACGTTTTCTTGTAACGTTTCACCGGTTTCAACGTTTTTTTTTATATAGGCTGTGACCCATAGACATCTACATTTATTCTCAATAAAGTATCGAAATACGGATGAGTTGTCATCCGTGAAAACAAAGATGGAATGCCTCGTTTCCAGTAAAAAGGTGTCTCCGGTTCTCTACACTCACCATACGAAACACAGCAGTGTTAAGCCTTACCCGGTCGAGCCGACCTATTTGTGCTACAACTATACTATATTAATATAGCTGCAGCGTGGCTCTATCACGTATAAAAATTCCAGAAAAATCTTTAATTAATAGAATCAGGCGTTACTTTACGACATTAGTTAAGATCCGTATAAAATATTATGTCTTACCCAGTTTTTGGATATGTGGTAGTTAGTGTAGGAGGTGCTTTTCAGGCTATGTATGACACATCATTTTTTTTAATATATTGTTGTTTTATTACTTTGTGGTTTAATTTTTAACATCAAGAAGAAAATCTGTTTTAATAAGGAAAAAAGGAAATAAGTTTATTTTAGAATGAAACTATTTAATGAATGAATAATGAATGAATAATGAAGTGAACCGATTTCGATAATTCTTTTTTTAACTGTGCTTCTCATGTGGTCCTGTTGCTTCTCATGTGGTCAATTTAATCAAAGTCGGACCAATAGTTTTTGAGTTATCCTTAATAATACCTATATATTGAAGTCGGTTGTACGAAATGTTTAATATTAAATTATTTATAGTTTTAATTCTTGCACAAATATTAGTTCTGGTTAGGATTTGAAGCCAGATCATACGACTTATTAAATTAATAATCATACCATTGAATATTTATTATTTTTAATCGACTTCAAATTGCTGTAGAGACTATCGGTCCGTGGGGTCCAAGTGCGGTGAGGTTCCTAAAGGAACTCCATCCGCAGTTGGTCGTTGGTGCTGATGATAGGAGGGCTAGTTCTTTTCCCGCTCAAAGGCTAAGTATAGCCATTCAGCGGGGAAACGCAGCCAGCGTTCTTAGCACGATACCGCGGGGAGTAGGACCATATGATTATTAAGTTTCTACTTTTAGTTTTTTTTTATTATTATAGTTTTTAATATTGTATATAATTCAATAAAATATATAAGAGAACTTCAAAAAGGAGAAGGCACTCAATTCGACTGTATGTTTTTTT